CAGTTTTCAGTGATTAACTTGTGTATACACAAGGTACACAAGACTGGTTACACCATACCTTAGGTATATAAACAAAAGTAAATCTGCATGGTTAGTGAAAAAATATACCTGGTATTTAATAATGTAATGATTATTGATAAACTTATACATGTATAATTTTTCTTGTACCATTTACATACATTAGTATAAACATTAAATTGTGTCACTATATTTAGCTGGATACTGTTAATTAAATAAATTAAATATTTTTTACAAAAATACCTGAAGCTGACCCATTTTTTCCCCAAATTCTACTACACCGGTACTTTCAACATTTCTACAGATCATGCTGCTAAAGATGGGCAATAATTTTGAATGTAACATGTTAAAAAAATCATACATAACCCATATATTCTTTCCTGCATCAATAAATCATAAATGGCACCTGCCACTGGTAAAATTAATACAATAACATAAATTAAAACATGTTTGAAAAAGTTGGCCAAGGGTTATCACATATTAATATTAAACTCAATTGACTGGAAATTGATTACCTCAAATAAATTCAAAACCGATTTTGAGCTAATTAAAAACATTTAAAAAGAAACACCAAACTTTATGGTTTGTGGAGAACTTAACAGATCTCACTTTATAATGATAATGTTACAGTCTAAATTATTTCTTTTTGTGTTTCTCAGAGTTCAAAAATTGTATGCATTTTTTCAAAAAGTAATTTTATTAAAAATCCAGGTTGTGATTTTGCAAAGAAAATTTAAAGTGAATGTGGATCCACTTCTTTGTGACCTAAAAATTTAATACATGTATATAAAAAGTTTTTAATCTAACCAGTACATAGATTGAGACAAGTACCAGGGTAGCCATATAGCTATTTACTATTCCTATAAGAGAAAATTAATCAGTACCGAATTTGTAAATTGTAATAAACTTGCATGAGAATGGATTTTGATATTTTTTTGAAAAGTATTAATGAATTTATAAAGATCCGAATTAAAACATTACCGGTACATGTACCTGTAATTATGTGCCAAAATATTTATAGTATTAAGATTGATGCAATGAATCAAACAAAACTTATTAAAAATTTTAAGTTAAATATTAATATCAAATGCAGCAAAACTGGCATGTACATGTACTTGAGAAACTATCAAAACTTAAGTATTAAATCAAAGATATTACGTAGGTCATCTTGATGTACAAGTCAACTAAATGTTATAAGTACAACAAAGTCTAACCTTTATAAATATTGGGGTAGTAATTAGTGCAAGATTTTAACGTTTGGTCCGTGTAGCAGTGGCGGATCCAGGGGGGGATACGGGGATTTGCAACCCCCCCACCCCTTTTGGATTTGCTAATAAGAGACACATAGATAGAGAGAGAGGGAGAGGGGGAGACCCAATTTTTTGTTGTGTTTTTACGATAGAAATTGTTCAGTGAAAGGCTAATGTACCATAGTAATGTATGAATAAATTTGGTTGTTGAAAGAAAATGCCCCCATTCCCCCCCTACAAATTAGGATTTTTGGGTTCGGAGTTTTTTTTTCCTTTATTTATTTTTTTTTTGGAACAAAAATTTTCATGAAATCCATATTTTTTCCCTGGCTGCCCTCACCCTTACTTTTGAAAACGCTTCTACGTCCGTGTATCCTATTAAGTTGTTAAACTATAACTGTATGTATATGTATGTTATAACAATCCTTTTTCCTCTTCACCCCCCCCCCCCCCTGAAAAATTTCTAGATCCGCGCCCCTGTAGGATGTTTTAAAAGGTACATACTACATGTAATATATAGGCATGGGCTTGCTCCACATCTTTTTTTTTGTTAAATCATACTGTTCAATCATACAGAAAAATGTACTAAGATTCAGCAACCAAACCATATAGATCTGCATGTGTACATTCCTTGAGGCATCATTCATGCAAGATTGGTCACCACAGGGGGCTTACAGTTACTTCAGCTAGAATGAAATCTGCACTAAAAAAAAAGAAAAAGAAAAAATTCTGGTCTCTCAACCAAAAAATATAGGTCAGATCCAGCATCTGAAGCAAGTGTGGTAGTATACATCCTTAGATGCATCGTTCATGCAAGTTAAGTCACCGAAAGGCTACTTGGGCTGGGTACAATAATACAGATATTCTGGTGTATAGTGGTACTTTGACAGAAATTATCCTATTGTATTAAATTTGTTTATTTAGGTTTTATGACCCCTTCATGTATGAGTTATATTTTTTTTATGCATAAAGTTTTGTAAGTTATAGTCATCACACTGCAAAACTTTTACGACGATTTACTGTTGTATTTTCTTTATTCAGGTTAATAATAACATTTAATAATAATAAATTATATACTTGTTCATTAATATAGCAGGTAACACAGAAAAAATGACAATTTGTCTGAAATCATGAGTGAAAAATTCTAATCAATCAGATTGGCTGAAATTTTGGGGTAGATGACTATAATACACTGTATGATCTTTCACTTGTACACAGTGAGTGCAAATAAACCTCAGAAAGACTTAATATCTAACTTACAAATGAATATGACATTTAGTAATTTTGAATGAGGTGTCATTGGTGTACGCTTGGGGTACATCCTTTGAATCCTCTAATTTTGTGTATTGAATTAAGCAATAAACAGATAATGATCAATGTAAAATTTTAAGAAATGCACAAAAACCTTATTTTCATTTATTAAAGCTGAATTGGATGTCACTGAAATAGCTCAAATTTATTGGGATACTTAAGGGTATTATTTGGATACCTAAGTTTCCTTAATTGGGGTTCTTAGTATCCTTTTGTGTATAAAAATATGTAATAAACAGTTACTAAGTTATTTACAAAAGCATTAAAACCATTTTTAGATTTATAAAGGTCAAACTGGATGTCCTTGGGATATTTTGAGATATTTTTGGGGTTACTCTGGGATGTCCTTGTGGTAACTGAAGGCTATCCTTTTGTTCTTATGTGGGTATCATTTTGTTTTGTGTATTGCACTACATACAAATACAATAATCAGTTACTATGTCATTTACAAATGCAAATATAAACCATATTTACATGTACATTTTTAAAAGTTAAATAGGGTGTCATTGAGATATTCCTAGGGTACCCTTGGGTATTCTTGTGGTACCTTAAGCCTAGGGTATTCTTTGGGTTTATGCGAGTTTCCATTGGTTCTGTGTATTGAAATACACCATTCATAGTTACAGGATTATTTTTTTACACCTTATAAAATATTATTAAATTTAGTTCCTCAAAACTATACATGCATAATTGAGTTTAATTGTTTAAGTATACTACTTTTAAATTTTTATCTTGGATAACTGCTCTGTTTAAGGACAATTAATTAAAAGTGTTAATTTGCCCTTCAAAACCTTTTTTTGTAGTTTACAAGTGCATATAAACTATATTTAGAATAATTAAGGTTGTATATGGTGTCCCTGGGGTACCTTGTGGTATCCCTGGGGTTCCTTGTGGTTCCTTGTGGTATCCTTGTGGTTCCTTGTGGTACCTTGTGGTTCCTTGTGGTAAAAAGACGCACCCTTTTCAGTGGGTGGGTAGGCAACTGCAAACAAATTAATTTTTATTTTAGGCCCCAGGTTTATGGTAATTCAAATTGAAAAAGAACATGTAAATTTTACTAATTAAAAGAAGTAAATGCTTTATGTTATAGGTTTTGATTTTTTAGCTCACCTGAGCCAAAGGCTCAAGTAAGCTTTTCTGATCACAGTTTTTCCATTGTCTGTTGACGTTCCAGGTGTCAGTGTCATCTTTGTTTAAAAACTTTTCACATTTTCATCTTTTTCCAGAACTGCACGGCAATTTTCAACCATATTTGCCACAAAGCATCCTTGGATGAAGGAGATTCAATGTTGTTCAAATGAAGAGCCTTGCCCTCTTTCAAGGGGAGATAATTAAAAATTAGTTAAAATTTAATGAATCTTTCAAAAATCTTCCTCTCAAGAGCCACTGGAACAGAAAAGATGAAACTTATGTGAAAGCTTTATTACATAATGAAGTGGGAAGTTTGTTTGGATCATGACCCCAAGGGATATGGATTGGCCGCAATAAGCAATCAAAGTTTTACATACAGAAATATAAATATAAAAACCTTTATCAATCTTTTTCTCATGAAAAAACTGGGCCAAAAGGGTTGAAACTTTTGTGAAAAGTGGCGGTAGCATGGGGCTTTAATGGGTGGTCAAAATTTTACTTTAAAAAAAATGTAGATACTAGGTAACAATCTTTAGAAATCTTCTTCTGAAGAACTAGACATACTGGTAGTATGGGGCCACAATGGGGGATCAAAGTTTCACACTAGATAGTGATAATTCTTCTTTTTAAGAACAGCAAAGCCATGATTAGTCATACAGATACATATATATTGAAGAATCCTCAAGTAGTGTAGATTCAAATCTGTTGAAATCATGAAGCCCTGGGATAGGGTAGGACCACAATGGGGATCAAAGTTTTACATATGAATATATTAAGAAAAATCTGCTGATAAAGATATTGACTCAGGTGAGCATTGTGGCCAATGGGCCTCTTGTTTGCTCTACCCATGTCAACATGGCACTAGTCAGAAATGATAACTAAATAACAAAATCAAGTATGGACAGAAAAAAAAAGCAAGCAAGATATAAAAAACCACCAAAAAGTTTGATTTATTTAATAAATATATAATTTTCCAGACAAGGCTGTTTATGCACATTTTTTAACATTACTGATGGTATAATTTGTAAAAGATATAACACTGAAAATTTTATTAGTCTTGTCAAGATATTGCTGACTTACATTTTACTGGCCCAACAACATTTTAAATCAGGCTAGTGTATTTTGGAAAACAGTGTACTGTGCTTTGTAATCACCAGGTAAATTTAATTTAAGGTTGTTAAATAGGTATATTTAGTTGTCTTTATACCTATTCTCTCTCTCTCTTTCTCTCTCTATGTATGTCATATTGCATATAAATCTAGATGAAAAATATTCCTTGTTGTTTTTCAGAATGATCAAGAACTTGTTTGACTGAAGAGATAGAATGAAAAGGGAAGACCCAAAAGTGTTTTATAACAGACACTGTGAGAGTACCGGGTATTTGATTTTGTAGTTTTTAATAAGTAGCAAGATTACAGAATTCATAACTGACATAAATGATAGAAAATATGGTAAAGATATTTTAAATATTTCATAAATTAGTAATTTGAATTATATACTTTTTGAAATGAAACCCTATATCATTTTCACAGAATGCGCAAGATGGTTTGCATCATGGTTATGAAGGAAAAGCTGACAGTATTTTTGAGACAGCAAGAAAAACATCATTGCACACCATCAACTAATGACTCCAAAGGTGGGGGACCACATGCCATGCACATGCAACCATTTGAGATTTTACATGAAATTACTGCATTACATAAACTTGAGATTCCATGTCAAGTAATTTATAAATTCAAAAAAACCCTTTAATACCTTTAAATCAATGTAGAACAATGAGTTTTAATGTGGTAAATGATAATTATATGTAACTATTATTTTAGGAATAACAAAGATTAGAGTTCAAAGAATGGATTCAATGCTGGTACTTGGATAAAGATAATCAGGCATGAACTCTCATATCCCATGTATCTTCAGCACCTCTAGGTTACAGTTTTATATTTCACTAGAAGAGACTCATAAATAAACAAAGGACAGTCAGTTACTACAAAAGAGAAGCATCAGAGATTAGTGATATTTTGTTCAGCATTATTGCATCTTACAAAATGTAATCTATTAAAATTTTGTTTACATCTATCAATTAATGATTTTGATACATGTACCAGTAATAAATAATTTTGATGTGGGGTAAACTGATAAAATTGAATGGAAAACAAGCAGATGACTTGGTAATGATGTGTAAAAGACATCATTCATTTAATTAATACATGTAATTGCATGCAGTTAAAATTCAGTCAAAATTCTTGTGGTGTATATTGAAAGGTGTAACCAAGAGGGAAACATAAAATGATTTTCATATTATCATTAAAATAAAAGTCAAGTTGTATATTATACAATTATTTCTGTTTTTGAGGTCATTACAATGGTTTGGCTTGCCTAGGTGTATGCATTTACTGATCCTAAAGAAGGAAGTAAATATTGTCCCTCGATGGTTGTTGGATCAATACACTGTATATTAAACCCCCCCCCCCCCCCAAAAAAAAATAAATAAATGCAATTTCAATTTTTGTATAATACCCTATGTATCATACCCATAGGGTATGGTGTGTATGAAACAAGCATGACCTTTTGATTTGGCTGTTGGACTTACAAAAAATTTATAGGCTGAAAAAAACCCCTCAAAAATGGGATATGATACTGTTTTTGTAAATATGGATTATCTCCCTTTTCAGCTTAAAATTAGAACATTTTACTGGTCATGAAAATATTTTGATTAAATGAAAAGTAAAATTGTGTTGTATTTCAAATTGGAAAATTGAGAAATTTTTTTGAAATGTCAATTTATTCGTACATGCATACCTGGTATATATTCATGATATGTGTATAGGGCATATATATTGTACTGTGACAAAAAAAGGGAAATTGCCATTTTTTATATGAAACTCGTCAATCGTTTTGGGAAAATAATAATCATTTGCACAAAAATGTTTTAATTATTTTATTTGCTATAGGGTTTGGTGTCTATGAAATAAGCATGACCTTTTGGTTTGGCTGTTGGTTTTTTTTTTAATTTTTTGATAGCTGAAAATCCTCAAAATATTGATATTTTGCTGTTTTTGTCAAAATGGATTATCTCCCCTTTTCAGCTTAAAATTGGAACATCTTACTGGTCATGAAAATATTTAGATTAATTAAGATAGGTAAATAATAGTGTTGTATTTGAGTTTGGAAATGTAAAGAAATTGCGTTGAAATGTCAATTTCCTTTTACATGCATACATATATGGCATATATTGGACTGTGACAAAAAAGGGAAATTGCCATTTTTTGTATGAAACTCGTCAATCATTTTGGGAAAATAATAATCATTTGCACAAAAGTGTTTTAATTATTTTATTTTCTATAGGGTATGGTGTCTATGAAACTAGCATGGCCTTTTGGTTTGGCTGTTGGGTTTTTTAATTTTTTGATAGCTGAAAATCCTCAAAAAATTGATATTTTGCTGTTTTTGTCAATATGGATTATCTCCCCTTTTCAGCTTAAAATTAGAACATTTTACTGGACAAGGACATATTTTGATTAATTATGAAAAGTTACTACTTGAGCTGTATTTGAATGAGAAATAAACAAAAATGTGATTTATTGTCTGATTTTCTTTTAATTTCATCTGAAATATTGATATTTTTGCCTATTTTTAGAGGAAATTTCAGCCATATTTTACCGAAAACAGTTTAACTGTTGCCATGGCAACCAGACACAGAATTGACAAAAAATCATTTTATTTTTTGTAGTATCTTAGCATACTCTACCAACATGCAAAGTTTGAAAAAATTCTGAAACCCCCCATGTATCACCCCCTGCATGATTTTTACACGGAGCCATACTTAATATCAATAAATGCACACTATGCTGTGTCATAACTACAAGATATGCCTTGAAGTTGCTTACTGGCTTGTTCAACATAGTCATCTTGATAATTAAAGTAAGAATTGTTAATACAGAATACTAGTAGCTTCTGTAATTAGATGCGTAGGAGAAATCAGTTCCATGCGTTAATTCCCAATACTTTTGAGTGTTAATGAATATACACGTCTGAAGGTTTATAATCAAAGTGTGATTTAAAAGAAATATTAATGGAAGTCATCCTATTACAGATACTTCGTTGAATTTACCGTTAATGAATAATGGAATAGTAATAGATCATTACGCCTCAAAAGACTTTGGAGGTGTTCGGATATGAAAAATTAATAATTTTTCAATTTTCACATCAAACATGATAGTTATCAAATTAAGGGAAAATAGCTAAAATAATTAAAGAATCTGATAAACTATCTGTCATACTTAAACACTCTTTATTAGGATATTTGAACTGGAAATTAATATCAGTATATATATTGAAAAATAATTAGGGAGGTACAAATATCTCGGTGAATACGGTACAAGACAAGATATTAATTTAAAGAAAACGCCCATCGATCAGTGTGTTTTGTTCTTTTTGTGAAGTCTTTTCCATCTCCAACAAATTATAGCTGAGGTCTCCATCCACCAGGAAATGTACAGCTAGACTGAAAACTGATTCCGACAAAATGTTCTACGAAGAACACCGTATTTTGTGCTAAATATAAATTACTATTTGTTTTCATCCTCTACTCTGAAGAGGCAACGTAGATTGTCCTCTGCCTACAGCTTGAATAAAATATTATGCATTCATTAGTCATCCATCTGAACTGAACGTAAGAATATTCGATTGCATCTTGTGATCATTTAAGCGTGGTTTTCAAGGCACAGTAGCTGAAGTTAAATTATACCAGTTTTGATTTGTAGAATATGTGGCGCATCAAAAATAAAGCAATATCAGCTGCTTTTTTTCAAGGATGTAGAATTTCATTAAGTGAACATGGAATTTTGGTAATAATTTTTAAATTTTCATTTACATACTCTTCGTGACAATAAGATCAACCTGCCCTCCAAAGTTCCATTTAACCTTCCTTTTGATAATGAAAGTCTGATATTTATCGTTTTTTTTATACCATGTATATAGCGTTTGTCAGTGAAAAGGCTCTCCTTTTCATCAGTTATCCTCAGTAAAACGTAAAAGTATTTAAACACTCAGTGAATACATGTATTTTCTTGTTTATTACACACATCTACCCTAATATATCAGTGGTTGTTGCTGTTGCGTGGTTCTACTCTACTGACTGCAAAATTTCCACTTCATTGCTAGTGGAATAACACTGATCCCAGCACGGGTCGTTTTGAATGGGAATTGTAAATTGATTAATCATTAGATTCATCATTTTATAATGGGTAAGTGTTCACCTACCCAGAGGCTCTAGCAATCCTACCCAATAAATTCAATCAAGAAACCAAGAACCATGCAACAAGTGGGTTAATACACGGTTGCACGGGCGCACAAACTGCACCCTCGTCAGACCGTGTAACAATCCTAACATATCTGAATTGACGGAAATACTAAGAAAAAAATGTTTTACATGTTTGTTTAAATCTGTTTTGTTTTATTTTAATTGTAATTTGTTTAATTAAATCATGACCCCCGGGTAGAGAATTTCGGCCTCAATGGCCAATCCAATTTTTACGAAAGAATTTAAAGGGAAAAATATAGTCATATATAGACCATATAGTCTTCCTCAGAAATGCAAAGCCATGTAAAGTCATATATAAATATATATATATATATATATATATATATATATATATATATATATATATATATATATATATATATTATATATATGCAAGATTCAGGATTCAAGTTCAAATTATGACACATAGGGGTGCCGAATGCTTATCATCCTGAACTGTTTAATAATCCCTTATTCTGTTAAACAATAAAAATGTGAATAATTGTTATTTGTTTTAATCGTAATTCTTAAAATATTATTTGAGTTGGAACTGTTAAATCAACATAGCAACTACTTCAAGCAAGCACAGACAGTGTGATCTAGCCAGCCATTAAAAATACCAAGACAAAAATTTGATCAATCATTTGAAGTCAAATACATTTTGAACAGTATCACAGTTGCATTAATTTAGTAAAGTATGTTTTAAACTATCACAATTCATCAGTTATAGAACCATAAGGCAATGTGTCTTGCTGTGACAACATTGGTGACACATTTGACCACGTGCCATTATGGTGATTTGGATTAACTTGAAGAATCTTGCACATCAACTGGTATAATTCTACATTATAGAATGGCTTGCTGGTATAATTTTTCTTAAACTCTGAAAAAGAATTGATTTGTGTAACAAGAGGCCCATGGACCACATCGCTCACCTGAGCAAATTGGCTAGGAAAAATCATAAATCAGTTCAGTATTAAAAATGGAGGGGGTGGGGAGACTTGAATTTTAAACTACCTGAGGATGCTTCCATATCAGTATAACAAAGGGCTTTGCTATTCTTGGGCATAAGATTTTTTCTTGTGTATTCATTTGCAAAAATTTGATCCCCCATTGTGGCCCCTCCCTATCCCCAGGGGTCATCATTTGTACAAACTTGAATCTACACTACCTGAGGATGCTTCCATATCATCTAGACTAAACATGGCTTTTCTGTTCTTGAGAAAAAAAATTTTGCCTAAATATTCCCATGTAAAACTTTGATCCCCCATTGTGGCCCCACCCTACCCCCAGGGGTCATCATTTGAACAAACTTGAATCTTTACTAACTGAGGATGCTTTAATATCAATAAGACTAAACATGGCTTTTCTGTTTCTGAGAAGATTTTTTCCTGTATATTCCTACGTAAAACTTTGATTCCCCATTGTGGCCCCATGCTACCCCTGGGGGTCATAAACAAACCTGAACCTACACTACCTGAGTATGCTCCTTTATCAATATGACTAAACATGGCTTTGCTGTTCTTGAGGAAAAGATTTTTTCATATATTCTTTTGTAAAACTTTGATCCCCCATTGTGGCCCCACCATACCCCCAGGGGTCATCATTTGAACGAACTTGAATCTACACTACCTGAGTATGCTTCCATATCAAAATGACAAATAATGGCTTTGCTGGTCTTGAGAAGATTTTAAAAAGTTTTTCCTATATATTCCTATGTAAAACTTTGATCCCCCATTGTGGCCCCATCCTACCCCAGGGTTCATGATTTGAACAAACTTGAATCTGCACTACCTGAGTATGCTTCCATATCAAAATGACTAATAATGGCTTCGCTGGTCTTGAGAAGATTTTTAAAAATTTTTCCTATATATTCCTATGTAAAACTTTGATCCCCCATTTTGGCCCCACCCTACCCTCAGGGGTCACGATTTGAGCAATTTTGAATCTACACTACCTGATGATGCTTCCATATCAATATGACTGATCACAGCTTTGTTGTTCTTGAGAAGATTTTTTTTTTAAAAAATTTCCTATGTATTCCTATGTAAAATTTTGATCCCCTATTGTGGCCCCATCCTACCCTCCGGGGTCATGATTTGAACAAAATTGAATCTACACTATATCATGAAGGTTTCACATAAGTTTCAACTTTTCTGGGTTAATGGTTCTTGAGAAGAAGATTTTTGAAAGATGACACCTAATTTTCACTAATTCTTAATTATCTTCCCTTGAAATGGGGCATGGTCCTTTATTTGAACAAACTTGAATCCCCTTCACCCAAGAATGCTTTGTGGCAACTTTGGTCAAAATTGGTCCAGTGGTTCTTGAGAAGAAGTCGAAAATGTGAAAAGTATACGGACGGACAGCTAGACAGACAGACAGCTAGACGGACGCCAGACAAAATGTGATCAGAAAAGCTCACTTGAATTTCAGCTCAGGTGAGCTAAAAATCAGTTCAGTTTTTACAACAGTTTCTAAAAATTATGATTCAAATATAAAGCTCAATATTATGTTCAAGATTTAGAGAATTAAGGAGGGATTCTTCTCAAATTTCTTGTACTTAAAAATTAATGAAATTTTCATGGATTCAAGAAGACATTATTATTAAGTAATGGTATCAATTAGATTAGATTTGACCGCTTTATTTTAAAAGCAAGGTCATTATCTTTTACCTTGACCTTAGGAATAAAACATACTGTTGCCAATCATGCAATGCCTACTTCTATTTCAAAAGAATAAAATGTTTTTCTTTTTGCATAAAAAGATATTACCATTATAAGGTCTATCAAATGATACTACCAAATTGACATAAATAATTTAACTAAAATAGATATTGGCTAATCCGAATTTCCTCTATTTTTCTTAGATTTTTAGGCTATATGAGTTATTTTTATATGCTTCGTATATTTAATTTTTTCTTATTTTCACATGTGGTAAAGTAGTCATATAAAGATACAATTGATACAAAAACAAAGTTTTGACCGTTTACTAAGAGAGAAAAAACATTTTTTACTGATTTTTGGCTCAAATCTGTACTTGGATCGGACGCTTTTAAAAGTTAACAAAATTGTAGTTTGTTTGGAAAATCATATTAATTTGATATATTTTAAATATAAAACTTCAGTCCATTATTTCTAATTTTACTTACATTCGATTGTTTAAAATTTTAAACTAAATTCATTGTTCTATTAGTAATTTTGAGAAGCGGAAAAGGAGATATTTTCATACGCCGCCTTTCCGCCAAAAATATAGTCCCTGCTAGATTTCAAACTCAGTTTACCATTTCAATTTAAAGTTGTACAATTTCGATGAGGAAAGAAAAATATGACCTTTTAAATCTCTTACATCTAATTATATAAGACATATAACCAAATATACTTTGAATATTTCATCTAGTCAGAAACCAGACAAGAATCCCTCCTTAAATACCAATCATAATACCTAGTATGTACGTGTATGATCAATATAACTACAATTAATTTCGAGTAGCTGCAGAACTGTAGCGTTATGGTTTTATATTTTAGTCTTGATCAAAGACTGAAATATAAAACCATAACGCTACTGTAACAGTTCTTCAGCTTAAATTTTCACATATTGTAAATTTATAATAAATTTGGTACATATTTTAAATATACATTGTAGCTTACTTTCCATGATATTAAAATTATTTTCATTTAACGCCTGAGACATGCAGAGGAATTGTCATAAAAGTGATTTTTTTTTAGATTAAAAAAGTTTTGATATACATTTGCAGTTATACCCGAAGATAATATATCGTACAGAAAAACATGCTACAGGTTTATACATGCACATGTACAGTTACCTGGTCCAGAGGCCAAAAATATCGCTCGCATATCGGCATCAGTGTTGTCATAGCCATGCATCCCTCTCATTTCCCCAGTCCCCTCATATTTAACAATGTTAGCAAAAGGTATAGTCTGCAACAAGATGATTGAAACATTAATATCATATTTCCAAAATTTAAACTTTATACATGTAGTCATTGAATACAAATTGATTAAATCCATAAACTGTAAAATATGCATAATGTTATTCAGTCATTGAATTATAGTGAAGTATCATTGTGTTGAACACAATACCGTAAAAATAGCATAATGATGATGTTCTTGTAGATTCATATTACAATATATATGGAGGGTAATCGCATTTAAAATTCACAATTTGTTTGAATGAAAATTGTATGTTGTATTTCCACCGAAATATAAAAAGTCAAGAAATACACGGTATAATCTTCGAGATTAAAGTTTAACATTAACAAATTACAACTGTAGAAATACAAATATACATGTACAATTTTCAGCCTAACAAACTTTGAATTTACACATCCCTGGATTTATAGCTGTGCAACTTACACAAGGTGAGCAGCCTATACATTTACAAGGCAAGGTGATGTACACACCATCGTCCGCCTCTATGAATATTGGTGACACTCGATAATGTCTTTTAAGGTTGTAACGTTCTGGAATCTTGTCCTTTCGGTACACAGTGATTTTTCCCCCTTCAGCTACCGCTTGAAGAGCATCGTAGACCTGATTAAAACTATGTCGTTTATTTCTGATGCCACACCACATATCGATTGGGTCATGTCCATATTCTATCCCTTTTGTCCGTCTATATTATATTATGGTTTGTTCCAAGAACTTAAATATTCAGCTTTTTTGACAGACAAACTTTTGAGAAACGAATGGTTTACTGGTTGCATGGTCGTACTGAAAATGTATGGTTGTCTCCCGTCAAGGTGAAATTGTTTCCTACAGGCATGGGTTGCAAAAAGTCAATGTGCTTGTTCCATTATATTTTTTTCAGAAAGCTTGTGTATATTTCGACCAGAATAAGTAAAAACAAATTATGACATTGATGGGCAAATAATTGAGCTCATTTTTGGATTATTCTGAATGTATCTTCTATACAACTCTATACTACACGTAAAACAAGCATTCTGAGAGTATTGCATTAGCAATACTAGTCCCCTACCGGCAAGTGTAATCTGGTTCCCGTAAAAATTGAAAATGCTATAATTCCGTCAAAAATCAATGAAGCGGAACGAAATGCAAACTTGGTCTATAACTCATTACGGTTGAGTGACATACCAAAAATCAGCTCAATATCTGCAAGCGTTTAGAAAAAAATTGCGGAAAACCCGAAAAGTTTGAAAGGTCGTAATTCCGTAAAAAATCATTGAAGCGGAACGAAATGCAAACTTAGTCTGTAACTCATCAAGGTACACTCACATACCAAAAATCAGCTCAATATCTGCAAGCGTTTAGAAAAAAAGTGCGGAAAACCAAGTGGGACGGACTGACAGACAGACAGAGGGACGGACAGACTCAGAGGAAACCTATAGTCCCCTCCGGTTTCACCGGTAAGGGACTAATAAGACACGCATCCAGGAGAAAGGAATCGGCACTGAAAAAATTATTGTTTTTGAGTGTATCTCTGCATTATTATGAAAACGACAATTATCTAAGATTTATGTACAGGGTGGTATTTTGTAGCTCTTTCTGTGAAGAAAATAGAGAGGATTTTTAGCAATAATAAAAGTCTCTTACCTTATCAATAGCCCCATCTTTAGGCCAGATTTTGATATTCGCTCCTTCTGGGATTAATACAGATATGTCATTCATATCAATTTTATCGCTCAAATCTACTGTTTCTTTAATGTTCGCCATTCCATGATCAGAAAATATCATAAGACTGACGTCATCTAATCCTAATGATGTCATTTGTTCTTTGAGTGTGTGAATTTCTCGGTCAACTTCTTTGATTATCTCTTTCAGCTCTTTGGAACCGACGCCGTATCTGTGTCCATAATGGTCCACTACTTCAATGTATATGCCTAGGACAGGAATGATTTTTTAAACATTTCTCCGATATTTTTAAACTTATCACAAGTTAAGTGATATAGATACAACTACATGCATTTATATCTAAGCATTGAATGCTCATCTTGTAAAATCATGTGTAACAGTGAAAACAATTTAATTTATTCAAGGATGATTTGGAAATTTTTGGGCACACTTTGTGTAATTTTTGGCACTGCGGGCAAAATTGAACAACTTTAGTAATATATTTATGATTTTATTTACATTTTTACTATTAAATTTCTCTTCAATCTATTATAGTGAATTATTCATATTTTTATTCATATTTTATTACTCTGGCACTTCGCTTTATTATTTTGACGTTCCTTTGCGATATACAATGTATCGAGACATGAAATGCAATCAATAAGAATTTGATTGATTGATTGTATGTTGTATTACGTCCCATTCAAGAATTTTTCACTCATATAGAGACTTCGCCATATACCGGTGAAGGGTTTCAAATTTTGACCTTTACTCGGCACTCAGGGCCATTGAGCAGTGAGGGGTCTTTATCGTGCCAACGTCTGCCGTGACACAGGACCTCGGTTTTTAAGGTCTCATCCGAAAGAACCGCAACTTTCACTTCAAAGTGCCGAGCGCATGGTGAAGGAACAGTTGCTACCCATTTTCTATCGACTTAGGTCAGTCGCGGCCGAGATTCGAACTCACGACCTCCCGACCACGAAGCGAGCGCTCTACCGACCGAGCTACTGTGAACGGTAATAAGAATTTGAAGGAAAACAACTGTGCAACGTTTATTACTGGAAAAAAGATTATCTTAATTAACACACGAATTTATATTTTCTTAGAAGCAGAAAACAAAAGATTTAGTGTATTTGAGCAATTAAACAAAACCATAGTTTACTTTCATATATGTTGGTAGATGTAAGCATAACACGTACCTATGAAATCTGCCGTGTGATTTTGTAAGAGATTCAGTGATTCATTGATGGAAAACTGCATTTCTGGAATTCCAGTTATACCTCTTCTTGGTATGCAAAAGGTTGGCTTAACTCCCCTTATAGCCACATCGCACTCTCTCCAGTAAAAGAAATATGTCTTTTTACCCTGAAAATTAAAATCAATAAAATTTTTGGATGATGTACTGAAAATTTAGGAATTAGCACTAAAATTGCTACAACTTTCATGAGATTTATATGCACGAAAAATTTATATAAATGGCTGAAGAACTACATGTAGCATATGGATGACTCCAATGTTTTAAAAAAAATTAAATAAAATTATAAATTAAAAGTTTTATACTGATTAATGCCTGAGATCTATTCAGGAGAACCTTTATGATATTTTTATTTGGAAAATAATGTACTTAAAACATTTTTATGTACTAACCTGGTTTTCTGCCGTCACCCACAGAGGTTCGGCATCATCCCACCAGTGGGTATTGTGCTTTTCCTGATGAAACAACGCATCGTCCATGAACAGGTTTCGTCCATGTTTTTCATCGAACATAAAATTGAATACATATCCATGGTCTTCACTATGAACACCTTTACATAAAACATTTTAAGATCCCCCCTGCCCCCCAAATGGGTGGGTGGGTAGATTAACTAACCTGTATTAGAAATAGATTAATGCACTTTAAGGATTTCGAAAAATTGTTGAGATGACCTTATCATAATTACAAACAATCAAGTTAATGGAATCCTCACCAGTCATAATGGAGTAATAATTAGGATAAGACAGCGTTGGATACACTGGAACCATGTATTCGGCCTTCACTCCTTGCTTAAAAATACTATTGAAACCAGGCAACATTTGACCATCTTGTTCTAGGTAGTCCCATCTGAATCCGTCCAGTAAGATTACAAGTAGGCGTGATCCCGAAACGTTTGAACCAATCAAAATCAAATATAAGAAGGAAAATAACGCTGACCAATGCTTGGTCCGATGATTATGGCTGTTCATTTTTAAAATTCTCTACAATATAACAAATTAATGAATTTATACAATTTGCTTTTGAACACATAATTGCCGCAGAAAATTTACACATGTAGGAGTAATCATTTTAATTTCATACATATTCATCAAAATCAAAAATGATTCAAACCGCCCCAGAGTTCCCAGCTATCCAAAGCTTCTCTGGAGAACTACGACTGTTAAACACGCAATATATGCGATATTAAATGATGTAGAGGATTATAAAAAAGAAGCTGGGGATAGAAATTCTCAGTGACCCCCCCCCCCATTTTTGTTGCACTATGGACAAATCTTACCCAGTTAATATACCCAGAATTATGTTTTGTGGAAAAAAAGAAACTCAGAACTTAAAACCCTACCTCCACCCACCCCAGTAAATAGATTTTGGTCATTTTCTGCACATTTTGGTGATAAAGTTTTGTTAAGTCACTTGTCATTTTTTGCTTTTTCCTGCCTCGCCCCTTCCCCGTCCTCCAGTCTGTTAAACCACTTTAGATGTCTGTCTGAGGGAGACAGACTGAGAGAGAGATTTAGAAAATCAAACAATATCCTGATATTGAGAGAGAGATAGAGAAGGAAGGGGTATGAAAAGTGTGTTAGATAGGTATTAGAATATTACTATATATCTTATTTCCGAAATGAACGAGGTTAAATACAAACAC